GGACCCCGCTCCCAGGACCTCCCAGGACCAGCCGCGATCGGAGTCCCAGGCTCCTGTGCGTGTAAGTTATTCACACGCATTTCATTGTCACTCGGTTTGTCACCTACACTTGCCGGGGGCCGGTCACAGCCTCCCTTCCCCCCCAGAGGAGCCCTGGCCGGACCAGGAGGCCTCAGCACGAGGCCTTGAGGCTCAGCCTTTGCTGCCTGAACGGCCCTTCCTTCCGCAGGCGTCTCCCGTGGAGAAATCACCCACGTGCGCCCAGAGAGGCAGCCTCAGCCAGTGCCGCCGGGTCGCGTCCACGCAGGCCCAGTCCTCACCTTCCAGGTCCTCGTCCAGGCCCGCCAGGGTCTGCTCCCACTGCCCGGCGATGAGCAGGCCCCCGTCCTCCCCGGGGGCTGCCGCGGCCCTCTCCGCCCTAGGGAAGAGCACAGAGAAGGAAGCGCCCGCGTTTCCCTCGGCTCTCATCTCATCCATCCTTTCTAGAAACATCCGAGGAAGGCCCAGCTCCCGCTCAAACCCGTGCGTTCCCACTCCCTGCGCCCTACGGTCCTCGGAGCTGCTACGACGCAGACGGCGTGGGGTGCACGTGTGAGCGTGGCCCCGAAGGGTCAGCAGCCCCCTGACCACACCTGCTCCCACCCACCCCGCCGTCCAAAGTCCACGCTGCACAGACAAGCCAACCTGCCCCCAGCTCTGTGCTGACCTGCGCCGTGTTCACCACACCTGGCACCTGCCTGGGAGGGTGGTAAGGAGCCAGGCCACCTAGAGGCCAAGTTTGCCAAGGCACAGGGCGGCCAGGGGCTGGGCCTCGTCACCCACCAGCCCCGCCCACACAGACAGGGGGTTGCTGAGCCCATGAGGAGGCTCCCTCTGGCCCCCAGAGCCTTGGGGGTGGAGGCCACGGCACTGGCCCAGCACGGGGACAGGTGGCCCAGTGTGGCCTTTTCAGGCTTTCACTTGGCTTAATTAGCATCCTGGGCAGGTGGCAGAGGGACAGGGCTTGGAGGGCCGCGTAGGCCACCCACAGGCGTGCATCCTGGGCCCTTCATCAGGAAATAGAGGAACAATGAGGAGGGTCACAGCAGCGACAGGAGTAACAGCTCCCTCTCCTCCCCCACACCCCCCTGCAGATACTCAGGGACAACCAAGCATCTGGGGAGTCGAAAGCTACCCTTGGATTTTCAACTGCAGGGGGGTTGGCGCCCCGACCCGCTCCCCTGCAGTTCAAGGGCCGTCTCTTCCATGCGGCGGGGTGATGATCCAAGACAGCACCTGCCCGTGGCCCTGGCGGACACAGCGAGCCAGTCGCCTGCGGCCAGGGTGAGCTGCTGAGTTCAACCGGAACCTTCTGTCCGCTTTCAGAACTGTGTTCGCTTTGGTTCAAAACAGCTTGAGTGACAAGATGCTTTTTAAGTGGGTAGCGTCTTAAATACCCTTTGACCCTCTAATGAGCAATCGTTTTCTTTCACAAAGTGGCAAGGCCAGCGGCCTGGGGGTGGAGGATCGGCCGCGGCTGGTGTTTCCGGGGAATGCCCGGCCCCTCGCCTCTGGGCCCAGGGGCCAGGATCGCCCGCAGCTGGCTCTTCCTGGGGCCCTGCTGGGCCGGGGCTCCAGGCCCTGGACTCCGGCGTGAACGGATTACCCGGCAAAACCCAAAGCCAGTGCCAAAGGCCCTGTCTGGCTTTCCAACATGAAATCTCGGAGGAAGGGATGGAGTGACAGTTGCTTCTCCTTCCCCACCCACTGCCAGCCGCTTCTCCCAAGGGTTACTCGGGGCCTGCACCCCTCTCTCTCCCCCTATGAAGACCGAGAGAGCGCTCTGTCCCTGGGCTGGAGGCGGCTGCCCTGGACGAGAGCAGGGCCCGAGTTCGAGTCCAGAGGAGTGGACAGCCGGCAGGAGGCGCCGACTCATCTCAGCTCGAGGCAGCTCCGCCGTCGCTTGCTCTGGCACCACGCTGCAGCCCGACACACCCCCGGGCCTCAGACACGGTTCTTATTGACAGTTTGTTTTGGCTTAAGACCAAGAAAATAAAGAACAAACACAGCCCAGACGCTTAGATTCCGGGCCGCACATGCTGAACAAACATTACCAGCGGCATTTTCTCACACGGGTGTGGCTGCCGAGCGTGGTGACAGGGAGGGCATCGCTGCTTCCACGATGAGGGCAAAGGTCAACAACGGTGCGCTTCGAACCAGAGTCTGCCCAGAGAGCGGAGCTGCCCACTCCCCCGGGGGCAGGGGCAGCGGGCACAGGGCGGGTGCCCTGAGGGGGCTCACCACTCTTGCTAACAAGAATGAGGGGCAGCCTGGCTGGTGTGGCTCAGGGGTTGAGCATCAGCCTATGAACCAGGAGGTTAGGGTTTGATTCCCGGTCAGGGCACATGCCCCGGTTGTGGGCTCGATCCCCAGTAGGGGGCGTGCAGGAGGCAGCCGATCAGTGATTCTCTCTCATCCTTGATGTTTCTCTCTCTCTCCCTCTCCTCCTTCCTCTCTGAAATCAATACAAATATATTAAATTAAAAAAAAAACAGGGGCCGCTGGGTCTAACCCGTGCCAGGAAACGGGTGCTTTTGGTCTGGTTTTCATACGATACGAGGAAGAAATGCAGAGCCTGGGCTAGTTCTGACCCGTCCCGCCTCCTCGGTCGTGTGTCTATTTGACGCGGCCAGAAACGTTTATCTGAGTAACGGATCCCATAGTAAAACTATGAAGGGAAAAATAAGGAAGAGTTGGAGAGGAAGAAAAACTCCCTTTCCGGTGGCAGAACAATTTGCAAAGGACCGCCACGCCGCCCCGTCGATTTCACAACAGTTACTTGATAAACTGCAGGCAAGGAGCCTGGGAAAGCGGACAGCCGATCGCAGCCGCACACACTCACCTCCACTCCATTAACAAATGCTCCCCTGTTCACCGGGCTCCCGAGTTCTAGAGCGTAATCCTGGCTCTTCGTGCAGCCACAGCCGCACAGGTGAACACATCGGTGAGGTGGACACTAGTTAAATGCCTTCTTTAACTTTAATGAGTCTACTTTCCTTAACCGAACTGTAACCCAGATTATTCTCATCATTTCTCCATGTAATAACCATAAAATCACTTTATTTCCAGGCCACACTGGGAGCATGTCTACACCTACAGCAGAGCTCCCTGTGGGCCGGCCACTGTGCACCTGCTGGCGGCTACAGTCCCAAACAGCCTAGTTCTCCCGGGTCTTACATGGTTTTTATGTTGCTTTATAACGCAGTTACAAAGTTTCGGGGTCTCAGAAGGTGTTAACATGTTCCTGAATGTTCCTATGGTTCCAGAGTTCCTCTAGTTACAAAGTTGCAGGCTCTGGAGAGCATACATGTATCTAGAGCAGGGGTCCTCAAACAACGGCCCGTGGGCCACATGCAAATACAAACATTGTATTTGTTCCCGTTTTGTTTTTTTTACTTCAAAATAAGATATGTGCAGTGTGCATAGGAATTTGTTCATAGTTTTTTTTTTTAACTATAGTCCGGCCCTCCAACGGTCTGAGGGACAGTGAATTGGCCCCCTGTTTAAAACGTTTGAGGACCCCTGATCTAGAGCCACACGTTCCTCGAGTTACAAAGTAGCAGGCTCCGGAGAGCATGAAATGTTTCTGGTCACAAGCGCCCAACCCACTCCGACCCAGCACAGCCCCACAGTCAGGCCCTGCCCCTCCCGGCCCCTCCCGGCCC